ACAAGCAGTTATTTACCTACTGCAACTAAATCTCGAATATATTTTTTAATTTAACATTTATAACCAACAGATATATGAACCCGTTGTACGACTTTTCGATATCAATCAAATCCTTTTAATTTTTAACAGGACTATAATGGCTATAGACACTATGTTGCTAGATACAGTACGTAACATTGTTTGTATCAAAGAATTCATTAGAAATTGCCGGTTATGAAACCTCCCACCTGTGATAAAATGGCATGTGTCCCTCATTTCCGCTCGGTGATACTTTGTAGTAAAAAAAAGGAACTGCAGCAAAGTCAACAGTAGATTTTGAGTTAGGGTACTCGAAATTTTCACAAGGTAGTATGTGTACATGTATACCGTTATTTCTAAATGGAATATGTATTTTCTCAAAATTACGAACCAGTTTTACTTCACTTAAACTAATTATTGTCTAAAGTTAGGCATATAATTTCACTTAATAAGACTTTTAGGAAAATTTTTAGAATATAAATCCCCCAACACCTTTGAAATAAACGAACTGATAAGAATACATATAAGTATCAATTATATATTTAACAAATTAACAAAATGGAGTCGATATATTTACTTGTGAACATTTTTTTTTCTGCAAAGTGATGTACCTACAAATAACTATAACAAAGGATATGCTTAGGAAACCTTCACCTTAGTTTTACGAAGACAATGACAGAGGCGACAAAAGTTAAATGGTGCCTGATGTAAGCTAATTACCATAAGAAAAACGCGCAGTGATATTTACGACTAATGTTAATGTTAATGTAAATGTAAGCAGCAAGTGTATGAATATTTGTTTATAAATTTTGTGAACCCGTAACCTCTTCCAAAGGTACTATCGTAAACGTAACTTATGTCACATTTACAAAAGTTCTTTTCATTAACCTTATCCCTTCTTCAAAAACAGGGTATTTCATGATGAATTATAGGACTTACAGTATAATATAGATGATATAAGGCTTTTTTTCGCGACAGAATATTGGTGAATATCTGACTATTTCTATCTCTTTTGATCTTAGTTGTCATATGGTAGTTTAAATCTCTTCACTCACTCATATTACACATACCACAACATACCACTTCACTCGCGAAAAAAAGCCTATAATTATGGAAAAACTTGTTCAGCGAAATTTGCTGTTTACAGACTTACAGCTACAACAAAATATGTCCACAATATCTAATCTCTAATCCAATCAAACTGAGAGATTTTAGATATGTCAAACATGGTACGAGTACTATGTCTTTTATGTAACTTAAGAATTCATTTTATTTAGGTTGAAAATACTGCAACGTACTCTTGCCCAAATAAGGCAGTATTGTACACAATGTTAATTACGAAAACATTATTTTGTACAAGATTTAATTTATTGGAAAAGCTGACTCATGATCTACGGAATTATTTAAAAAATGTAAATAAATGTTTTTAAATTTGGTCAAGAAATGGGTGATTATAACTATCACTTTTTGTCCTCCCCAATATTCTTAATATAAAGGTAGAAAAAAATATAATAATTAAAGTAATAGGAATTATTTTAAGTTTTTTAATACCCATATAGCAAAAACAATTAAACATCGTTATTGTATGGATTTATCTTTTTTATAGATCGCTTCTGCAACATACTTGGATAGAAAGATTTGTTACAGTTACAATGATTAAAGTTTGATACTCTACTAGTAATAGAGATGTGGTCAAAACTATATACCATAAGCAATGGTGCCTGGTGCGGGGTGGGCTTCATTTGAAAAACACTTATACGTGGGCTCCTTGTAGGTCGCCCCTAAAGTGTTTACAGCGGTGGTCATGGTTATCGTCGCGCAGCAGTGCAAGACGGAGTGGGAGTAGCGCATACGTACTATGCCGTTTGGGCTCACTGCTTTTTTCCATACTAAACGTAATTTGTTTACGTGAAATGTAATTTTTTACCTACGTATTGTTTCTTGTGTGTCTTTTAAAAGATTATAAAAGTCTATATTAGCTTCGTACACTGGTGACCTTGAACCAATGGTTGGCCGCCATTACAGAAAAACGGAAAGAACATGTAGGAAACCGCAAGAGAGAATATTTATGGCATGTTGACATTTGATTTCGAATTCTACCTTGATTGATGAGTGATTTGTGTGATGTCACCTGATAATCAGCAAAATACTCTTCAAATTTAAAGCGCCATCACTCTTGACTCGATGGTACGCGTGAATCACGCAGCGTGAACCGGCGGTACGTGGCTACACCACCCCAACCGGAACTATGGTCACTAGCCACTGCCAACCGAAAAGGTTTTTACAACAGCTACAGCTGAAAACGCAGGAGCTCTCTTTCGCACCCTTTATAATACACTGCGAAAAGAGACGGAGTGTGTTGTGAAGTATTTTATATTGTACGCATTTTTACAAGCGAGGAAAGAGCCGTTTCCGGCGAATCACTGTTTTAATGAGTTGTTTATTTTGATTAGACCCCTACGACAATGGAAGATAAATGTAGGATAACAGTAATGAAGATACGTTGAACGTATTATGTTTAATTTATGTGTACGGTAATAAGTCATTTCCATGGATTTTTGAGAACTTAGGTGGTAAAATTGCTGTCATCATCATATCACTATCATTATTTTAAATTTTCTGATACACTCATATATTACTGATCGGCAACATCTTTGTGTGTTACATAATATGAAATAATCATTGCAATTGGAATAATGAAATTGAAACTGTTTAAAATTATATAAAGAAGGCAAAGCAGGAATTTCTTAAAATGGATTTGTTTTTCTCGCATTTGGACAAGTAGGTAACAGTATTAACATTCCTTACACTTTAAACTAAAAATGGTAATAAAACTATAACGACTTAGTAATCGCATTTACAGCCGTACCCAGTCGTTTAACGCTTGAAACAGGTAGATGTTATCGGGTGCACCTACCAATAATACCGATTTATCGGTAGATTTGTATAATATTTAATACCTACTTTAACTTTCGTTAGTATACAACAACTGTTGTATCGATCCTGCATAATTATATTTTTATATCACCTGACGCCTCATATTAGTTAAAAACTAGATATTTATTCCCTTTCCTTAGGTCAAAAGATTAATAAAGTATTTACACAAAGGGTAAAATATGTAACTATAGAATATTCCTTATGAAAATACTGAAAATAGAATAATCATTGTTATGTATGTCAGATACTAAAAATAAATACACAATAATTGCCTATTTAGATATATTAATTGAGTACATAAATTCACAGACGTTCTAAATATCAAGTTTTACAGTTAAGAAAATTTTATACATTGCATTTTCGTCTGAAGTAAAGTAGTCCAATATATAAAATACAAGATTATATTAATGTAATTTTTTTACATATGTATATTTAGTTACTTCAGTGCCCCTTCCCCAACAGTCAGTTTTAAGTTACAATTTTGGAAAAAAATTGATACTTCCTTTGGATATTCTGTTTAAGATAAATATGTAATTGGATACCTTGAAAATAAAACCCAATTTATGTTAGTAAACATCCGCATCAAGTAACAACAGAAAATAAATAATATCTCTTCTATATTCATCTCAACATGGAAATTTACACATAAATAATTAAATAATTGAAAATATATTTAAAAAAAGTAAGATAAACTTACGAAAATAAGCTTTTGTATACATTATTTTAACAAAAATATATACGCCACTGGTTTATTTTCAACCAATAATATTTTCTCATTTGATTTTCTCATATCATTAATAGTAATACATAACAAAGTACTTGTAAATAGTAAATAGTATATAGTATACTATTTTGAAAAGAAATAAATGTTTTGCAGTTGCCTTTACCAATGCGTCTCTAAAAAATACAGTTTTTAATTACCTAGAAGCAGGTTTTTGCAATGACAGCAGCTACTCATTATTAAAAAACTAAGTACAGATATACCAAAGTTATCATGTAAAAAATTTAATTACACCTGGTAAGTATGTACAAGTATAGTTCTTTCATTTAAATATTAAGAAATATCAAAAGAAACATTGAAGAAACCAGTAGCGTGTGTCTTTTTCCCATCCTACTGATGACTGGTCAAAAAAATTTGAAATAAAGATATCAACCTCTGTGTGATATAATACCGAAAAACAGATGTAATTATTTTAGATTATTTTCATAAATTCAGGGGGATTCAATTTCAAAGAATTTTGTCAATATGCCTAAAAGAATAGAGATTTGTACATTTGAGTAAGTTCCCATACATTCCCCGTAGGTAAAACGGTGCATAGCTTCATCTATTCTTATGTAAGAGAATCGCATTCACGAATGGACCCAAATTCCAAGAATTCATGCCATCCCACGAGCGCTTCACATTGCCGCACTACATTAGATTTTTTCACTTAAATGGGGCTATTTTGAGAAAGGCTATTATTAACTTCCAGAAAGGTTCTAGATAGGACTGCATAGAAATTAATACAAATTTATAAAAGTTACATATGTGCCTACTATATGAGGGCAAATCTTTAAGTTAATCAAAGAATTAAACAAGGGAAAAATATGTCACACATGTAAAATTACGGACTGTTATTAAAATAAAAGTAATTAATAAAAATAAATTATTTTATTACCTTGCATAATTAATGAATCCCGTTAGGTAGTTACAAATACCGGTATCAATATTATTAATACAGTTAATTAGGTAAATCTATTAATTACAGTTTTTATACAATATGTATTTCCTAAATTTAATAGTGCCAAAGCGGTTTATATTTCTGTATATTTCGTGCATTTTGTTACAGGAGCATAATATTTTTTAAATATATAGATTTGCAGAATCAATTTTCGAAACTATAGATATAGAATATTTAAACTTAATTAGATAATTTTGGTATTTTATACGAAGTAAATAATAAAATGTACAGATATTTAACGTTTGGGTAAAATATATAAGTCATCTAGTTATAAATATTAAATGATTTTTTCAATTTTAGAAGTACTAGGATAAAATAACTGACCTTTCTTAGCCTAACAACTTCTTGAGATTCCATGACAAGGGGCCTGTTGACAGCACATGGTTTCTTTGAAACATCTTGGGCATTGTTATTGTCTTGCAGGGGCTGAATAAAATCTAAAGATTTTGTTTGTTTATACTGGGAATTAACTGCCACAGAACGGGCAAAACAACTTTTATAATTTCCTTCGAATTCACTACCTAAATCAAATTGTACTTGGTTGTTCATTTTTGCAGTTTTTACTCACTTTATATGGAAAAAAATTAGTAAATAAAATACCGAAAAACCTAGTCTTTCTATAGAAAAACTTTATCGTTTATATACTACAACTATGTTTAATAATCCACTTAATATGTATAGCCATAGAGTCCTATTTCTCACTAAGACACTTATTAACATTTCGGCAGCAGCTGCACCACTGATTTCTTTAATTCTTTGAAAGGTTTTTGAAACGCGCCAATGCTTTCAAGTCGACTGCGCAGGTCAGAAAAGAGGGATGCCCAGTGTATATCTGGTTGTCTACCCACAGGGGCACATGTTAAGTAATATATTTTTATATTTGAAGTAGCGCCTGTGTAAAATTAATATTACAAATGTTGCCACAGACGTTAATAAAAATAAAAAAAATGATTGAAGGTAATATCGTTGAGTTTACAAGCTATCATTGAGTAAATAATTACTCTATTAGTTTATTGAATTATTTTGTGTAAATATACTAACATGAAATTACAATTTTATTTAAAAATTCAAAAACATACATTTTATCTTCTACAATTATCTTAATTTCAAATGGTTATAAAAATAATTATAAGTATACTCGAAATCTGTCTAATGATTATTGCGGATTGATTATTAATCGATTAATAAAAACCGAGTAAAAAATATCGCTTTCAGTTTAATCATATCCCTTTCACATTGTTTCCTGCCTGCTCGTTTATGAGATTAAATGTTCTATGATTTCAAATCTGTAAAAGTCACTAGTCTTTTTTTACTAGTTTTACTTTAATGGCTCATGCGTAAACAATTGTTTTATTAGTCTTATTAAGTTAAACTACCACTTCTGAAGATTTTTACCTTGTAGGACTCCAAGATCCGTCAGTTAACATAGCCTTGTGGAAACTTGTCCACATTATTGCGCGCTTGCAACAGTCTTATTCGGACCAAATCTTGACAGACCAGTCTCCGATAGTTAAAAAGTTCTTAACAAAGCCAGGGTTTCGTTATCAACAAGCATTCCTTTACAACATTTACTTTATTATAAAGTTATTAAGCTAATTCAAATAAGTCGACAAAAAAATTCCCAAAAAATCTTATCAAATGAAATCAAACACTTATCAACCCCTTATTCTGCCTATCGCATCTTTGCAAATTAGCAAATATGTTCTTAAAAAAATATTTATAAATATTTATTAATATCTTAGATTTTGACTTCAATAAGCTTTCAATGTTAGAATATATAATTTTTCAAAATATATTTGAAATATAAATTAATGAAACCCACATTAAATAACTGCATCATTGTGTGATAATATCCCTCGTCTTTCTCTATTGCTCTTCTATATTGTTTGGTATGTTCTTCATCAGCGGTATTTACATCTTTTGGCCAGCCACCTTCGACATGATTCATAGAATTTGTGAACTCTGCTTTCATAGATCTCTAAACAAATTTATAGGTGGTGGAAAATTGTCTCCATCTGAAAATAAACATTGCCTCCCTCCCAAATACACTTCTTTTCGTTTGATATGCATATTGAACTTGCATGTTTATGGAACTGTTATTTCATAAGTATAATCAATAATATGGAAACCATGGAGATCGAAGTCAAAAAAATTGTCTTAAAATACGTACCTCTTTTAACAAATTACAAATTTAGTTAATGATGATGTTAACCATCTTATTGACTCTCTGATGATTTCCGATTCTACTGCAGAAACAAAATCGATTTTAAATAAAATAAAAGATTGCAGTAAGGATTTAGCGAAATCATTTAGATAGGTACGCATAAAAAAATACGAACTCAAACTATATGTACGTATATTGTTAGTAAAAAATTTATATCTTTCCTTTGCATGCATCATTCATCTTATTACAGTACAATATAAATCAACGATTGACACAGTTCTTAACTTTCAAATTGTCCTTTTTTGGTTTATGCACATTCGTTGTTTTTGTTAATTATTTACTATAGTTTTAGATTTAAGTGCACAAACTAATTTCTTATAACAAACGTAAAAAGAAAACAATTACTTGCAATTTTTCATTAAACGCCCGAAAAGGCACATTTTTTGATAAATCCAAATTACCACTGAGTAGGTATTTAAAAACATTTTTTATTCAATTTTCACTTTGCGTACCTAACTGCTCCGCCACTGAATATTCATTTTAAAGAGTTGAATGTACATCAATATTTTAAATAGCAAAGTACTTTCCACCAGTATCAAACTAATTTAATAAATTTATAGACGTTATTAGTCATTAATCATCCTGTTTTCAATTCAAAATATTCACAAAGATTAATTTTATTTATCGACATTTCTCATTCTGATGACGTCATTTTAATGTCGGCGTGCTTAAAGGGGATAGGACTATTGATGACCTATCCTCTTTATTTCCAAATTAATAATGTTAAAAAAGTTTCACAAAGAAAGCAGTATTAATAATTTGAAGTGTGATAACAATTATAACGAAGAAAATGACGTCAAGCAATCTCAATATTCCTTATTAAACGTGATAGGTCCTTTAAATGTCAAACGGTGGAATGCATTAAAAAATGCATTGAAATGTTCAAATGACGAAGATTTTGCAACAAAATTATTAGATGCAGCTGAGGAATACTATAACAGGTACGTTGATTTACAAAACGAAAATATAATCACAAAATGTAAACTACCGCATTTTTATGGCATTATAGGAGGAGCCTATTTGACAGATCAATAATGAACACGTGGTTTTGTTTTGTTTATTTTTGATTTGAATGCAATTTTTTCCCTATTGTAGATTTTGGTATCATACAGTATATTCTAAAGGAAAAGATAATTTCAGTAGGACTTATAGGAATAATGTCATTAAATTTGTTTTAAAATAAATTTATATATTTCAGGAAATTCCCACAAAAAAATTATGAACCAAATCCTGCTAAGAGAGATATTAAAAAGAGCAAGAATAAAAACAGGTGTTATCAATCAAGTAAAAATCAACATGAAGGTAAAGAAACTGGCTGTAAGAAAGAGAAAATTAATAATTGCAACACGAAAGAAAACAATTCACCCGAAATTGAAAGTAATGTTATACATCAAATTAATTTTGAAGAAAGAACAACTTATTGCACATCGTCAGTTATAGAAACTGAGGATAACTTAAACAAATGTAAAATTGATGAATTTGAAGTAAAGAATACAACCCGAAATGAAACTCAAAGGGATCCGAACAAAGAAAAAAAATCAACGGAACATGACATTCATAAAGCTCCAGAAATTACTAAAAATAATGATAAGTTGATAGGAAAGGAAAATGACAAATCGTGTAACAATTTAGACATAGATAAATTTAACGTTTGCCAGAACTGTTCAACGTGTCACACAAAAGACCAGTGCCCGATATATTACCCTCACTATATAGTTAAAGACAGCGTTGATTACAATGCCTGGTTAGAGAAATACAAACCTGCTTACGAAAATCAAAAGAAGAGCGAAATTTTAAATGACAAAGAATCTGCTGGTTTAAAGGAAACGAACAAATACAGCTTTGCAATTATGTCTGTCCCGAATTTTCTCAGTTTTGGGGAAACGAGTACCAACCATGGCAAGGGTGTATTTGCGAAAAATAACGTAGAACCGTTTTCCCGATTCGGACCTCTCATAGGAAAAATTATTAAAGAAGTCGACATTCCGGAAGATTTCAGCATGAAAGATCTGTGGGAGATCAGTTCGGAATCCGGTAATATTTATTTCAACACCGAAAGCGTCGAGCTCTCTAACTGGTTGAAATACATCAGGCCCGCTCCGAAAAGGGAGGAGAGGAACGTAACTGTGATATCAAAAGAAAAGGACTTGTATTTCGTTACTGTTAAATTTGTTAAAAGTGGTGAGGAGCTTCTATACTGGCAGGACAGTCCAATTTCCGCGAATAAAAAGAAAATGGAAAAAACCAGTAAGTTTTTCGTTTTTCCTCTTAACTTATGCAATATAAAGCATTTCCTCATAATTTCTTAGCAAATAATGTTACAACTTCAGTTCTTTTATTATAAAGGTATGAAGTTTCCTCCGTCTTATAAATTTATTGTGTTTTAACGATTTTCGCGTAATTGGTTATTTTATTAATCATCACGAACATATTTTCGATACACTTAGAAACATATAAATTTCAAAAAATTACTAGGAAGGTTTTTGCCATTCTGAAAATGTGCCTACTACTGCTTATATGAGTAATTTGCAGAATAAAGAAAATCTGAAATGAATACGATTATAATTAAATTATTATTATTATTGTTATTTAATTTTTTTATATTTTGTTAACCGATCAACGAATTATTTTGCTTTTAATATAAAAATATTAAATATTTGATATTTCAATAAGATTTCTATGGAAAATGTGTGAAAATTTACTTTAGATTTTACTTTTGTTGCATTGTCTTTTACATTCATATCTAATGAAACTTATATACTGACTTGTGTAGAGGATTAACCTCAGTATGTCTTACCGTAGCGCACCATTTTTTGCAATAAGCAAAGCAATCATAAAATAATCAAAAATATGACTTATCTTTTAGCATGTGGGGGATGCAACATGGTTTTCAACCACCCGCACTATTATAGAATACATTGCTCGGTGTTCCACGATTTGAGATACAGCTTAACTATAAGAAAATATCATTGCAAAATTTGTGGGGCCGCGGTACTGGGGAAAGAAAACATAATGAAACATGCCGCGGAACTCCATAACGGACAAGGCGCATACCAATGCCAGTTTTGTAAGAAGGTATCTACCGCATGATTTCAATAACATTAAATTCCGTTATGTTCAAATTTTATTTGTAGTTCTTCCTGAGGCTAAACTATCTAGAGATGCATCGGACATACGGCTGTTCTGCCAATCCCCACAGGTCTAGGCCGTTGTGCGACTTTTGTGGAAGGAAGTTTTGTCAGCCGCAAAAGTTAAAAGTACACATTAAAAGAATGCACAGCGGTAAGTTACTATAATTAGCAAATAATCATCGACGTTGAATCATCGTTAGTTTTGTTGCCATGAAGTTGGAAGTTATTCGTTTTAGATTTCTCGGAGGTACTCAAAGAATTCCAGTGCAAAAGCTGTTTGAAAATATTAGGATCCCGAGCCGCCTTGCAGAGGCACTCGAAGGAAGTTCACCAGAAGCAAATCGACGGCGCTTGCTCGTGTTCGAGGTGCGGTAAGAAATTCCAGAACAAATCGAATTTGAAGATTCACATGTTAACTCACAGCGGCATAAAACCGTTCAAGTAATTAAATATTCTTTTAAGAATGAACTTTTGTATAAAATAAATTTGTAGGTGTATAGCGGATAATTGTAAAGCCGCCTTCACCACAAAACAGTGCCTCCAGTTCCATTACAAGAAAGTTCATAATTTTACGGAGGATAGCATGCCCAAAATAAAAAGGAGCGTGGAATACACTTTTCAGGCTTACAGTGGGGTTCCTCAAGATGGAGAACATAAAATTGATGATGCCGATATGTCTAAGTTGAGAGAACCTCTAAATGAGAACGGAACGGATAGTGATAATGACAGTAAGTTACACAATTGTGTATTAAATCTGTTTCAGGTTTACCATTTTTTGACCAAGAAATTGGTTCCAATTTATTGTCCAAATTCTGTGAATTTTAGCAACTTTTAATTATTTAATAGCACTAATTTTAATTGAATGGCAATGACATTTAAGATATAACATATATTTTGAAGGTTATGTCTCACAGAGCAACCTACGCTAGTAGGTACAAAGGAATGCAATATGCCAATGATAATCTCTTAACCAACTTATTGCATCAAAAACCTGTAAAAAATCTGTTAAACGATTTATTCGTTACGGTAAAAAAGATATAGCTACAACCGAACAAAGCTTTTGGTGATTATTTTAACTTTCTCTAAAATATATTAAAAACACTTTCTCAACTGTTAGGGATTATGTATTAAAAAAAGACGTTAACAAATATGTAATTATTTTAGGCATGGAAAGTCAAAGCAGCAATATAGACGATCCAGCTCCGCTAGAATCATCCCCTCAAATTGCCGATGAACGCCCTCCCACACCTAAACCCAGCCCCTCGCTGGCCGACACCTACAGCAACTTCAACTCCATCAACACGAACATGAAAGTTCTGAGCAAGGGTTCGAAAAAGTGGATTGCTGGTGACCACATCGACAAACCTCCAGACATGTACGCAATGGAGAAATTAAACAAAGAAGAATTAACAGGCATATCATTGCAAGAGACTGAAATATACAATCGAAGTAAGCTCAACAACCTAAGTGATTTCAGCAGGCACGAGGCGTCCAACGCAAGTTTGCTAGTCGAGGCAGCACTCGACTCTGTTTGTAGCGAACCGAATATAGATATCGACGTTAACACCACCCCGAATTGCACAGACTCTTTAGTTAACAACTTGTACACTTTAACTCAACCGGAGAACTTACCCGACGTGTCGTACGGCGATCCTTCGTGTATAAGCGAATCGAGGGATATCAATTTGATGTCGCCCTCGGTGAACGACCACGTCTCCGTAACCGACGAACTGAATAACGAACTGCACCACACGGGCAGCATACGAATGGACTATGCTAATTTCCACCAAGAGGATTTCAGTCCTCCAAACAGCCCGGAAGTGTCCAGATCGAATTTCGTCAGGAACTACATCAACAACCTCTCCCCGCACAATGCGTCCTACGAGCAGAAAAACGTGAGTCCAGTACCAAGCCCGCCGAGATACGACTTTGGACATGCCGTGAACGCCGATCACTTATCTTCTGACGATAGTAACGGCATGGCGGCTCAGAACCTGAGCTTGCACAACCCCAAGAACGACATTCAATTGGACTTATCTCTGTACAAAACATCGTACAAGCCGGATAACCAGAACTACATGCGGAGGTTGAAGTTTGAAGGCGAAAACAACCCGTTAGATCAGGACCAGCTCAACGGGATAAACCAGAATCTATCGGAGATCCAACCGTCGGACTCGGACCATAAAGAAAATTCTATGGATCGACCTAAGTACCCAGACGATTTAACTGCGACCGATATACGCAACAAATTCGAGATTGACTTGGATCTCAGACTTAAAAACTATGAGAACATCGACAACGAAGTGTTACGACAGAGAAATGCTTCGTACGACAACAGCGACTCGGATTTCCGAAGCAAGGGATATGACTTAATTGAGGCCATCGAAAACCGCAACAAACAGTACGAGAACATGGAATCCGACTTCCGAACCGACCGAAATTTCGAACCATTGCTGCTAAATTCTGAGCTCCAGGGCCTCGACATGTCCGCTAGGGGCTTCCACAGCTACTCAAACATAAACCGGTACCACCACTTGTACCCCGAAGTCGATAGGGTCGATCTGCGTTTGAGTTACAGCCCTCCGTTGCCCGCTTACACCCACGCCGACATCCTGAGAGTCGTCTCGTTGGATCTGACGCCTCCCGGACGCCACAGTGTGGACTTAAGCTTGCGGACTCACCCCCTGCATCAAATCGCAAACTCCCGTCTGCTGACAGAACACGGCTTGCAGGGCACCCCTCACAGACTTCTCGATCAGGGCAGGTTGCTGACGGCAGACTTGAGTTCCTCAAGGCACTTAACCAACGATGGGAGGATGATTTCCGAGACTAGCGGTAGGATACTCTCGGAACACACCACGTCCAGGATATTATCGGGTAATGAGCAGTTAACAACGAACCATTTGTTGAATACAGATCAGAGTAGGCTCATGGCAGACGAGTCTCGGATCATTTCGGATCAGTCTAGGATTTTGGATCAGGGTAGGCTCATCGGGGAGGGTCGGATATTACAAACAGCGACTCCCAGTGGAGTCGTATCTCCCGTTCAGGGGTTCAGTGGGTATTCCGTTACTCAAAGTCCATATCATCCGACACCTATCGCACCAAGGCCGCACGTCTCGTCTCCGACACCGACGCCCTACCATCATTATTCCTCGTATTATTAAGTAATTGTTTGGTGTAAATATATAATTTTTATTAATATCGGTTTGTTTAAAATATTTATTTTGTATATAATTAATCGTACATATTTTATCTTGCTTGATTTTATGTTGGATTTGATCACATTGTCGAAAAACCATATATATTATTTTATGTTTTATCGAGAAGGAATTTTTAATAAAGTCCTAATTTTACTTGCGTTTTAATTTTTTTGAAGTTTCGATAGGTATAAAGAAACCCAGTTCGTCTGGAAATGAATGCTCCAACCAATCCCGGCGTGCTAGAGTGAGACAGCATCTACTGAGATACGACATTATTCCATGGCTAGAAATTGGCCTCAATGATTTGGGATCGAGGGGAATTAGGGAGTTTTTGCATAAGGTATTTACGAATACGATAAACGTTAAAAACACGTGACTGAATACCGTATTGACAAATAACGTGTACTGAATGCTTCCAGTTTTTGCATATCGTGTCGTTTATCCGCAATGGTAAAGCGTGTCCTAAACTCAATTCTGTCGGTTATGCTTTCATTTGATAATTTTGCGGTAAAAGGCAGTCGGCAAATGAAAGAAAAATGGATGGATTATTATTCGTACACAAAATTACTATCCTAAATGCACGGTAAACTAATACCGTAATCTGGGTTGGATATCGGAATACTCAGTAACGATAAACGCCAACGGTAACTGTTGCACATGCGCAATGCCCTCTCACGTGACTTTATCGTTTACGGTATTCTTAAAACCGATATGCAAAAACTCCCTATTATCCCTCTTTATCCTGCCTCATCTCGTGTAGGCCTGGACAGCCTTCGTAGGTGGGCCCCATCCGTCGTCTACCCCGACCGCAAATGCGGCCAGTGTAGGCGCTTTGTGGGACCTCCTTTTGTCCTGGCTGGGCCCCGCCGGCTAGGGCCCTTTCTTCTGGCGCTCTTCTTAACTGAGATAATGTCTGTTTCTTTCGCATACTCAGCCAGACTATTTGTAATGGCATGCTACCTCCAGTAGTATATGCTCGTAGGTGTTCTCTGACTCTGTTATTTCGGGTCTTGTATTTTGACTGTGGTCATCAATCGAGGGAATATGAGTAGCCATTCTCAGATGCACTTCACGGTGCATTCCCTTGAATAAAAAACAAGTACATAAGAAGCTGGCTAAATACCCCCTGGGTGAAGGCCAAAAAATGAAGAAGAAGTATTTTGACTGTGATCTGTGCCATAGTTCACAGATCAGAGTCGTCAACAACAAGACATGAAATCACTCACAGAACAAAAATTTAGAATACGTGTCTGTACTGTCTGTGGTTACTGGTTATCGTGACTTTAGTGTTCTGTGTTGCGCTTGGGTGATGGTGGCTGGTGACAAAATTTATTTACGATAGAAGCGGACGCGGACATTAGTTGTTATCAAATTGTCAGCAAATTCCATATATACAAAAGTTAATTGTAAAACCTACGATTATTAAGACGAAACCTAATTTTAATTGTTTTAACCTTTACTCTGTACCGTACAATTTTGTAAGGATCGATAAGTGTTTCTTATAAATAAGCCTGCGCGCTGTTGCAATTCTTTTTTTTTTTTCACCCACAATTTTGTCCGAATGGAGAGAGTTGCGAACATTTTTCAAAAGTGAAAAATAGAAATAATGAACAATTTACATAACATAGTGGTGTGATGTACTGTAAAGTATTTTGAATGCAGGAAACCTATTCAATTGAATCACATTATATTATAGTATATATAAACCTTAAAGGTATTAATTAAGTTAAAGTATAACTTACAACACATCATGAGAGGACGTTCTGGCAGAAGGTAAGCATAATGGTTTTTTTTTTTTGTGAATATTCTTATTACTAATTAACAATTAACATAAGTACAGTTTGCAATAGGTAATTAAGTACTACCTATATATATCTTTTATGATACATACCTTGAAGGAATAAATAAAGTATACATATTTAGCTTTAAATAACTCTAGCTGTAGATGTGAGAGTGATTTGTTAAACAAAATTAGGTCGTAAATATAGTATGTCATTTTATTTATTTCTCCTTATAGCAAACACCACTATATATCCTAACATAAATTTTTAGATCTAGAAGTCGAGATCGCAGGCGATCAAGAAGTCGCGACAGGGGCTACGGAGGAGGCGGAGGAGGTAGAAGGAATACCGCTGGTTCCAGTTTGCGAAAACCTAGATGGGACATGAGCCGATTGGAGCCATTTAAAAAAGATTTCTACATTCCTCATCCATCTGTCACGGATCGCCCTTACTATGAAATCGAAGAATGGCGTCGCAACAAAGAAATATCCCTTAAGGGCAAGTCGATTCCAGAACCAGTTTTGAATTTTGAAGAAGCTGGCTTCCCAGATTACGTAATGACGGAATTGCGAAAAATGGGTTTTAAGAACCCAACGCCTATCCAGTCCCAAGGTTGGCCTATTGCCTTATCCGGTCGTGACATGGTCGGAATTGCCTCGACTGGCTCTGGGAAAACGTTAAGCTACATCCTCCCCGCTATCGTTCATATAAATAATCAGGGCCGACTACAGCGGGGAGACGGACCCGTTGCGTTAATTCTAGCGCCGACGAGGGAACTGGCTCAGCAGATTCAACAGGTATTAACGCACATTCAAATGTAGTATGCCTCAAATATGATTAACTGTAATTATTCAAAATTCCAAGAAATTTTACTATTAACCGAGGAAATTAGACGTTAGAGATGGGTGATTCGATTTTTAAAAAATGTACACTTTCCATTAATATCGAGTTGTCGAAAATTTATCAGAAACTGTACCGTTATTCCCTTAATGTTAATCTTAAATGTTAGGTCGCCACCGATTTCGGCCACACCTCCAAAATACGCAATACGTGCGTATTCGGAGGGGCTCCAAAAGGCCCCCAAGCCAACGACCTTATGGACGGAGTAGAAATCATCATAGCAACGCCCGGCCGGCTGATCGACTTTTTGGAAAGCAACAGAACCAATTTGAGGAGGTGTACGTACTTGGTGCTCGACGAGGCCGATAGAATGCTCGATATGGGCTTCGAGCCGCAAATCCGGAAGATAATAGAACAAATCCGTCCCGACAGACAAACTCTGATGTGGTCGGCGACTTGGCCTAAGGAAGTTCAAGCTCTAGCCCAGGAGTTTCTGAAGGATTTCATACAAATCAACGTCGGGTCGTTGCAGTTGTCCGCGAATCACAATATTTTACAGATCATAGACGTTTGTCAGGAGAGCGAGAAGGAAGTGAAGTTGAGTACTCTGCTGAAGGAAATCATGTCGGAGAAAGAAAACAAGACTATTATTTTTATAGAAACAAAGAAACGAGTGGATGACATCACGAGGAAAATGAAGAGAAATGGGTGAGTATATAGTCGGTTATTAACTTTAATGTTTTTAGGTATTTAGAAGATATTTGGAAGTTTTATATTTTGAAGTATTACCACGTATTTTGAGATACTTTGATGTAATTAAAGGTTTCTCGATTGTTTTTTTTTTTTTTTGAAGTAATAATCGTTGTTTCCGTGGAATAAATAGTTGAGTTATAAGTTGAGTTAACATTCCCACGTGTTACATTTTTAAATCAACCTACATTGTGTGAAGTTACAATGGAATTTAGTAAAACAGATTGCTTTTGTATAACTTATTAACTACGTGTTATTTTAAAGTCACCATACTTTTTTTTGATATTACTGAGGTCGAAGAACTGAACATAAAAAACAAGCTATTGTTTCAATAAAAATAAAATTTTACTAATTTTTGGTTTAAAGTAATTATATTTGCTGTTTTAAAAACGGACATAATAAAAAGTAAATAAAAATACTAATCTGGTTGATATAAAATATTTTTTTAGAAACGTTTAAAGTTTTTGCAGTTATGTGGTACTATTTTTTTTAAACACGGGAGGTGGTGTGGAAATTCACTTTTCACTCCTTTAAATTATGAGAGTTCCCAGTTGCGCATGTGCTGCGTCTAACTTACTCCATCCTTTGAGGTCACACTAGCCCCCAGTGGCAGAGTATGAAATTTACTAAAAAGAAGGTAATGAAGTTTTCACGACGAAATTTGAAGACACAAACGATACGTATTTCTAAAGGTCCAGGGTAGCCTCTGTATAAATATGACCCCTACTCAAGGTTACACCCTGTATATGCAGGCTGTTACAAATTCGCTTCTCACTACAGGGATTCTTGAAAACGGTAAGAGATAAAGGCAACTAGCTTAAATGGGTGCAAAGTTGCGTAATCAGGGGACCAATATTATGCCTCTAAAAAATCAAGCCTAACATGATTAGTTTTTTAGGCATTAGGATTTGTTTAGGCATTTTAGCCTTGTTTAAGGTGATATTGAAAAAAGAAGACCACTTTCTCATGGCCAATTTTGCCCTCTATCGAATGGCGTAATCAATTTTTATATGTAACATTTTGTCTCTCCAGGACCATCATCAACTTCATTTTTTTAAATATGATCCTATAAACTTTATTACATTTTTTACAAGCCTTCATGACCGCCAATACTGTACTGCCTCAGTCCAAACCTGATTCAAACGTTTTGTTTCGAAAAATTTATCTTCAGTGTATTCGTTCCAAATTTATCTAAATTTTTTATTTAGATTTCTTTGTTTATTGAATTATCATATACTGTAAGTGTCGTCAGACCCTGTGAAATCCATATAGTTATTTAAACTATTACCACCACGCTTTAAAATGAAAAATTATTTTTTTATTCCCGTGTCTAGTTATTTCTAGGTTTCTCGAGTGCTCAAAATTCAAACAATTTTTTTTCAGAATATTCATACAAATACATCTGACATGGTCTTTCACAGTTGCAGTTACAGATATAATAAATTCCGATGATATTACGTTGATCTTCATTTTCAACCTTTACCAAAACGAAAATGTTTTTGAACATTTACTGAAATTTTTTAAAGAATGATATTCAGTTGGCGTTTTGGTTGTCATATGCATTTTTAAGAATTAATTTGTTGGAATAATATTAAAATTGTAATACTGTTTCAATTTTGACGCAACAACTTACCGAGTTCTGTATGACCAAGTGATGGTAATAGTTAATAATAATAAATGTTTTATTGTAACGTGTGTTGGTAATAATTTAAATAACTAGATGGATTTCACAGGATCTAACGACACTTACAGTGTATGATAATTCAATAAACAAAGAAATCTAAATAAAAAATTTAGATAAATTTGGAACGAATACATTGAAGATAAATTTTTCAAGACAAAACGTCTGCATCTAGTTCGGGCTGAGGCAATACAGTATTAGAGATCATGAAAGCTTGCAAAAAATGTAATAAAATTTTTAGGGTCGTATTTAAAAAAATGAAGTTGATGATGGTCCTGGAGGGACGAAACGTTACATACAGGGTGACCCATTAAGAATGGAAACACTCGCGTACAAAAGTTGTTTATGGACCGATTTGAACCGGGTTTTTTTTTAAAGATAGATCTCCAAAAGCTCTATCTTGATGCAAAATTTGAAGACGAAATTTTGATTTTCAAGGCCTACTACGAATTTTTTTTTAAGTGAAAAATAGCAAAATTTTGTTAGCGATTTTTTTATAAAAAATCTTACTACACCACTGGATTTAGAAACCCCTCAAATGCATTTGTACCAATTTTTGCAAAAAAAAGTTTGCCCGTAAAAAAGTTATGACAATATCAGCATCACCAGTGTTTGCCGTTGTCGGTGAACCTATTCTTTTATAAAAACCGAATAAAACCCATAGGGAAACAAAATTAAATAACAAACACTGGTTTAATAATTATTAATAAGAATCATAAAAACCAGTATACATAAAATAAACAACAATTACTCTAATATAAACAACAATTGATAAAAAAAAGTATTGATTAAAAAATTACATTTTTAAAAATGAAAAAGGAGTCTGTCAAATTGCCCCACAGAAAAATATCAAGTAGAGTAAGGTCCGGAGATCGGGGTGGCCAATGAATTAATCGACTGTTTCGACCTATCCAATGATTGGGGAAATTCTCGCCACTGCCTGACTTGTCTCGCATTGTGTATTGGACATCCATCCAACTGAAAATGTAGATTTACTCTTTCTTATAATGGAAGATTATCGACTGTATTAAAAAATTCGTTCTGAAGGAAATGTAGAAATTGTTCGCCATTCATATTCCCTTCAAAGAGGAACGGACCAATGACTCTCTCGTTAAGTATCCCACACCAAACGTTAACTTTCTGACTATATTGTCTTCGGCAATTAATTATCCACTCTGGATTTTCTGAAACCCACACCGCGAGTTCTGTGATGGTACAATTCCATTAGTCATGAATGTGGCCTCATCGCTGAATAAGATATTTTTTAAAAGAAATCGGTAATTGAGATATTGTCCCTGTGCCCAGAGACAAAACTCCATTAGTTTCTCATTATCGCCTGGTTCCAGTGTGTGAAGAAACTTAGGTTTATAGGGTTTTATGTTATTTTTTTTTAGGCAGCGTCGGATACTATCTCTAGGTAAATTTAAATCTAAACTAGCAAACCTGAGGCTATTCTGAGGATTGTTTGTAAAATAATTTAAAATTTCCTGCTCGTGAATACGTCTTCTCTGTTGATTGTCCCTTTTTAAAATGCATTTTGATACAGCACCATATTTCATAAAAGTATTGTTTATTTTAAAAACTGTGCTATGCATAATTATAGGTCTATCTGGATGTCTCTTGTTAAAAATTATACACGCCTCTCTTGCCGTCCGATCATTTTCTCCAGTAATATTTAAATTTTGTCATGTAAAGTTAAACTTTGAACCAACGCAAAGAATTATGGAACTTATTTAACCATGCACAAAATATATTACAATGTGCCACTTACTTGTGAAGTTTGACATTTGTTGTCTAAACTTCTATTTTTCACAGCCTATCAAATTTTGTCCATATCATTTTTAGGCAACGTTATTTTCTGGAATATTTTTTTCAGAAAATTCTTCACGAATAATTGGATTATGGTTGTAGAATCCAGTGGCTTTTTGAATAAAAAAATTATAAATGTAATTATTTTTGGCTAAGAAGAAAGTTTTGGCATAATAACCACGAAATAATAATAATTTGACGAACTTGTTTATTTTACGTATACTAGTTTTTATGATTCTTAATAATGATTAAACTAGTGTTTGTTATTTAATTTTGTTTCCCTTTAAAAGGATAGGTTCACCGACAACGGCAAACACTGGTGATGCCGATATTGTCATAACTTTTTTAGGGGCAAACTTTTTTCGCAAAAATTGGTACAAATGCACTTGAGGGGTTCCTAAATCCAGTGGTGTAGTCAGATTTATTATAAAAAAATCGCTAACAAAATTTTGTTATTTTTCACTTAAAAAAAATTCGTAGTAGGCCTTGAAAATCAAAATTTCGTCTTCAAATTTTGCATCAAGATAGAGCTTTTGGAGATCTATATTTAAAAAAAAAACCGAATCAAATCGGTCCATAAACAACTTTTGTACGCAAGTGTTTCCATTCTTAATGGGTCACCCTGTATAAAAATTGATTATGCCATTCGATAGAGGGCAAAAAGTGGCCTTTTTTCAATATCACCTCAAACAAGGCCGAAATGAAACAAAAACGGATTTCCAAAATTTCGTTTTTTTTTTTTCAAATATTTTAAAAACTAATCATGTTAGCCTTGATTTTTTAGAGGCATAATGTTGATCCTCTGATTACGCAACTTTGCTCACATTTAAGCTACTTCATACCTCTTGCCGTTTCCGAGATCCCTGTAGTGAGAAGCGAATTTGTAACAGCCTGTATAATCATTTTGAACTAGATAGAACTAGATGTATTTTGAATACAAAAACCTCTCTTTCTTAGGTCGTTCAGCTTTCAGGTATTTTTAGAGTGACTAATAGAATGCATTTTTCTTTTAAGCTGGCCCGCAGTGTGTATACACGGAGACAAATCTCAGCAAGAACGCGATTGGGTCTTACAAGGTAAAGCGACCCTAAAATTTATATTCGCTTCGAGTAAAGCTTGTCGTTCGTTTCAGATTTCAGATCAGGCAAGGCTCCGATCTTAGTGGCGACGGACGTGGCGGCCCGAGGTCTAGGTATGTGCGAAACTCACAGAATAACTGATCATGAATTTTTATTTTCTATACATGATTAGCAGGCTAATAATGTTTTTATTTTTTATTTTAATTTTGAAACTTTGACATTCATCTTTTTTTTATTCCGTATTATAAAAGTAGAGCATAGTTGTCGGTATATTAGCCTGTTGACCAATGTGCATGGGATAATAATCAGCAGCAGCAAAAGTAAAATGGGCACTACTCTCTTTTCCAGAGGCACAAGCGAGTTAATGACACATTCTTGTCATTGTGGCTGTGCCTCTCTCTATCGGACGACGAACGGTGTGCTCAGGCTAAAGGCGGCCATGTTGAAGTCTGTGGTCTCGGACTGCTGGCTATAACCTGGCCGTAGGGTGGGCCCCCGACTCGACAACGCTGCCCTATGCCGGAGTCAGGTTTGGACTGGCTTGGCTGCGGGCCGCTGTGTCTCACCGGGTCTAGAGACAACTTAGAAGAATCGGTACAGTGCTGATTTCCCTTTGACGATGTACTCTTTGGTACGCATTATTCTCACTAAACATCCAAACACGAATTTCACATTACGAAATTTCTTTTCATACTCAATAGGTAGGCTATGTGTTTGTTTTCTTTTTTTTTAAATTGTTGCATTCCAGATTTTGACTTGTTGAAAAACTTCGTCGCCTGTTTGTGGCCGGCGCAGCCTCACGGGCCGTCACTTTCTAACGAGCGAACGTGTAAGGTTCATCTTGAATATGAATCCAAAATGCTAGTTCATATTCTCTACTTAAACAATATTCAGTGTCAGTAGCTTACAGAGATTTAATAAAATTATAAATATTTTAGATGCTCCTTATACAGAATTACGCAGAATACGGTTAAGTTCGATGTCTCAGCAAGAAAACATATCAGAATGTGTTTTTTATGTCGAGTGTTACGTTGAATACTAGGTTGTTTAAAAAATGTATGCTTTTTGAGGATTGAATACATTTCACATCAAAATTAATGCACCAATATAAATGTCATCAGTGTCTACTGGTACAAAGGATTACTTTATACCTACTGGAGTAGGTCGATCTGTGAGATATAACCTATAAAGTAAATGTCTTTGCTACTCGATGCCTACTACTACAAGGCGTGCACATTGTGCCTACCAACAGAACAACCTACTAATCTGTAGGTGCTATGAAAGTATTAAAGAACAAAATCAGTAAAAAAAAATGATAATTGAGTGATATTGTTATTGCTAAATAGTATTCAAATTGGCAGTGTTGATGTAGTGTTTTTCACATTATTTGAAGGTCGGATAGAGACATTGCAATTGTACAAATATAAGAACTTTACAAAAAGTGATTGTAGGTGTGTCTGAGGTAGAGCTGACTTCGGCGGTCCATGAATATGGCCGAATCTAGCGAAATGTCACATAAGGTAGAAATAAAGCTTTAACTAAAACCTACACAAATAAAATCATACATTAAATGTCAAAATATGCAATATCTCTCGTGTATTTCCGTCTTTTCTTGATTATGGGTGAGATATAACCTACAAGGTATGTCGTATCTTAAATGTCACTGTTACGCAATCCCTATTGGCACAATGCATTGTACCTACTGGAGTAGATTGCTCTGTGAGATATAACCTACAAAGTATATGTCAAATTGAAATTGGTGCTCATTTTCAGGCGTTCCATTAATTATGATGTAAAATGTATTTTATCTTGTATTTAAATGGGAATGACAAAACATAAGAGGCTTGTTTCTACAGAGAGTTCCTCTCAGGTTAAATGCCGCTCAAAGAATTAGCAACTAATTGTTGACCCGTTCAGGCAAATTTTAAATTTTTAATTCAAGTGAAAGTTACAATATACGATGTTTTCACACTTTCCGTTTATATTCGGAAATCGAATTTTGGGAATAAGAAAATGAATTAAGAGATAAGTCGTACGTCAATAAATTTCAATACCAGCTGCTGCAGAAACAAACCTTTTGACTTTCATCGATTCGCTCGTGGTTGTCATCAAGCCGTCACAAATTCAAACCCACATATGCTTCGTAACACAATTTTTTAAAGTAAAATATAATAAAATGGTAACATGGTGGCATCTTAGATCAGCGTGAAACAAGAAGCACACGGCTGTTTATAAGCAACTATTCCGTAACTTAATTTTGTTGTGACAATGGCATAAAATATATGTATATATGGACAAACACAAAGTGAAAATTGCCTTTTGTATTATTTTCTACCCGAACTTTGATGGAAGGTATGCAAAATGTCTATTTCTAGAATAAAACTCGTGAAAAATTACGGTTTCTACAGTTTCTTATTATTTCTAATAATATTGCGGTTGTGATTATAATAATTAACTTAAGCTGGTTTAATTTTACACCATATGATGTTAAATGTAAAGTGATTGATTGTAACAAGCTGTAATAACCCTAATAAATAAAAAATCACATAAAAAAAAGGTTATAATAACTAGTCTTATGTATATTATGGCATTCGCCAAACATTTGTCAAGTATAAATGCGTCAGATTATTTTGCTGAAGTCCTGAAATATGATTAGTTTTGGCAAATATTTACCAAATTAAAACATCTATTGATATGCACTATTCACACGATAGGGCATGTGTTTACGTTTAACAAATATTTGGCAAGTGACTGCATTTGGAGTCTGCTTTAAATTAAATGGATTCATTCTTTTTTCGTATTTAAGAAATTATAATTTTTAAGTAAATGTATTTGAGTTCGATTAAAATTTACTGAAACCATAAAATTTTTGTTTTGAAAGATGGTTACATCTTTTAAAAATTACTGAATTTAATGTTATTTCGTACCAATTTCTGTGTGACCATGATAATATTTTTTGTTAAATTTATTCTATCTTGTATAATATTTGCGTTGCTAAACACTTTTTGTATAACGTTTTATTTCAAGTACCTTTTATTTTTGAACTGTATAAAATTGCGTGCAGAAAAAAATGAATTTCTGTTTTTAAATGGACCTTTTGCAGATGTGGAAGACGTTAAATTTGTTATCAATTTTGACTATCCCTCCAATTCCGAAGATTACGTTCATCGGATAGGTCGCACTGGTCGTTCCCAACGAACGGGTACTGCTTACACGTTTTTCACGCCCAGCAATTCCAACAAGGCGGCCGACCTCGTCGCTGTCCTCAAAGAGGCCAAACAAGTGATCAATCCCAGGCTCCAGGAGATGGCCGACAATCGCAGCTGGAGTTCCGGCGGTTCTGGAAGAGGTACGACATAAAAAAAATTATATATATTTATATTTGTCTTGTCCTCGATATTCTGTAATTTGACAGGATGTTTTGAAATCTTGAGATTGTTGTGTGCCCTCTTCCATACAGCTTTATACAACTATATTTGATTTATTTCATCAGTATTACTGTTTTTTTTTAAATTAAATAATATGGTATATGAAAAAAATCTCATACTACGGTATTTGTAAGGATCCATTTGTACATCTTACATTTTTCTTTTTTTTTTTGAATAAGTTATGAATCGCGTTTGTATAAAGAGCGGCATGAAATTCCAAATTCTTGACAGGGAGAAGTCGATGGGGACGGAACCGTCCACACCAAAGCCACCGTTCGAGGTCGAGATCTCGTTCGAGGAGCCCGAGGCGGAGCCGAAGAGATCGCAGTTACTCCAGAGAGAGAAGCCGCAGGAAAAAGTCGCGCAGCATAAGCAGGGAGAAGAGTCCCGTTTCCTCCAGACCGAGTCCAGTCCCAGTTAGAAAGAGTCCCCTCGTCACGAGGCAAATACAAACGAAGCTGAACGTTTCGGCGCCGCCACCGCCACCGTCAACACCGGCTCCTCCATCGGGGCCTCCGCCAAACGTCGCCCCGCCTCCTCTACCGCAAACCCTGCCGCAGCCGATGCTGACTTATCAGAGTTTGCCTCCCCCGCCTAATCCTTTCGGCGCATACCAGCTGCCTAATGGAACATTGGTCTTCAACGCTCCACCTCCGCCGCCCCCGACGCAAGGGGTTACTAGAATGTACTTTCCGTACGCTCCGCCGCCGCCCACTCCTCGTTAAGTTTGATACATTCTGAGGTTCGTATTTCGTTTTATCCATAAATTTACTGTTTGTCATGGTTTATAGATTTATCCCCTATTAAGTATTCCGTTTGGAATTTACTATTTTAAAAATTTAATTTTTTTATTAATTTAATGAAAAAATTGACGTTAATGCGAAACGGTGTTTAAAGACCCCAAGAACTGCCATATGTAACAAAATTTTAAATGTGATATTTCTTTTTACATAATGGTGTAACAGTTATTTTTTTTATAGAGATCACGAAAGCGAACTTCGCACGTGTCAATTTTTTATATTAACATGAAATTGTGCCTGATGATGGAAACCTGTCAATATTTCCCATGTCAAATTAGGAAAAAATTACTTAGATACACTCATAAAAATTTATTTGTGTAATAAAAATACCCAGTATGGCAGCTGTGGGAATTATAAAAAATTCTAAACTTGTAGGTGGATAAACCTAGTTCTGCATATTTATTTTTCATAGAAACATATTTTTTACAGGGTATAAAAGTATTGTTGGAGCTCAAATTGGTTATTTTTGAGTATTGTTATTAACAAAAAATAATCTCATTATATGATTTTAAGATTACACTGTCACTATATTTATTTTGAGGACTTTAAGGTACTTTATTTAATTATCCTGAATTTTTATATGTACATAATAATGACATGTATGAAGAAATAGTTTTGTATTATTTTTCCCTGCTTTTCCTTTTTAAATTTTGTTCTTATCTGCAGCAAAATATTTTTCGGATTAGGTCTGATTTCCTTGGATTCCTGCTATCAACTATTTTTTTAATTTAAAAATAATAAAAAATAAATACATTTTCTCGCTTAAGGTTCCTAAATTCAATAAAAATTAAAGAATCAGTATTTTTTTTTTTTGGGTCACTGCGAAAGGGTCGTTAACCAGGGATCCCTCATAGCTATCGATAAATTAAAAACCTTAATAGAATCAATGTTTTGTAAAGAAATGTGCAGCAAATTTATTGAGAAAAAAAAGTTTTGTAAAATCAATTGTGATTTTTTTAACTTCAGAAGTTGCAAAGTACAAGTGAATCTGAAGAAAAAGTTCATTATTAACTTGTGATGTTAATTTTATCAAATCTATTAAAGAAGTTTCTAAAAAATCTTATTAAATAAAATCAATATTCTTTGCTACCAGAAATCTAGATATGCCTTTACTGTATGTAAGGAAAAAAAGAAACAGTTAACAGAAAGTTGAAATTGCCTCAGTTTTCAAATCTGATTTAACGCTCTGATCTGATTTTAACCACTTTATCCTAAAAGAATGCGACTAATGTGTTTCATTCGTTTATGAACAGTCCTGTTCGTTGTGTCTGCTTGACGTACTCCCACTAAATCGGAGTATTTTATCGGTGTTCGTTGAAGCCGAGCACAAAATCTATGTTGTTCGTTATGCAGGAGTATTTCACTCTGATCAATTAGATCTTTGCTCTCGTAACTCTATCATTTGTGTTGGAGCAAAGGGAGTATAGCAATCGGCTGTTTCATTTTTATTGGTTGATACATCTGACACCTAATAAGAGTAATAAGTTTTCTTTATTCATGGTGGATAACAAATTTTCTTTTTGTATACCTAAACATAAGAAAAACTAATAAAATACCCTAGATAAAGTAATTTAAAACACACACGTATACAACAAATCAAAGCATAGGTTATCATAGAACATTTTTTATGATAGGTTATGTGAAAGTTCACGTCGTCTTCACGAACACAGGCACATTACGCCAACCAAGATCTGACTGCTCTACTTTGTGATCTAAAAGGATCTGGTGACGTCACTGCTTCGTACTCTTGATCCAAGATCTCTTGGAGCACTAGGAGTAGCATCTAACGAACAAGGCTAACATCAACATACGTGTAAGTGAGACAGCATGTACTGACATACTGTCTGTTTCTCTCGCACACTGAGCCTGTACGTGTAAATCCAGTTCCAGTAGTATATGCTCGAGGTGACCTGTGATCATAATCATAGAAAAAATATTGTATGCGTTGACTATATATAACTGACAGTAGCAAATTCATGACCCACCAAGAAGATCTCCAACTATTGTAACTTAAACGTCAAAATTTTGTTAACTGAAACACTCCAATGTCCATAATTTTTTATTTTTTATCAACTACATAAGGTGATCCCCAAATATTAAATATAATATATAATATTTTAAATCATTAAGATTTAGAAGATCATTAATTATTTTAATACGCTTTCTTTCATTTGCGGTCCTGATCTCCACTGTTCTATCCAAGGAGTCCAAGGACACAAAAATGACAGAATAGAGATCAAAATCCCGACATGGAGTGAACCTACTGGTTGACATGTGCTGTGATTTTAAAAATTTGTCGAGGTTATGTTTTTAAAAATATAACTTTGAAACTTCAACGATAATTGTAGTCTCAGACCCTAGATAAGACAAATATATTCATAGACTGTATGTTATATGTGTTAGGCATTGTGTTACAGCACAGCGCAATTTTTTAACTCTTTTGAACATAAAATACTAAGAAAGGTTGTGTGTAGTATATTTTATTGCTAGTCCAGTCAATGAATCATCATGCCACCGCCAGCAAAAAGAGATTGTGGTATAATTTTGTTTGATATTAACGCTTCGAATAAAAATGAGGCTTTAGCTGCCTTAATGAAGATTTCTACATTCATTTGGCTGTCTGATACGAAGGACACATATAGACTTATTTTATCAAATACAAAGGAATCCAAGAACATAAAGAAATACAAAAATTTGTACGACAGTAACCTAAGTGACTCAGATCCCCAGCCTATACTTAGTTGTATTGAAAATGCTAAGCCTGAAGAAGGAAACTGGTACGATGCTTTACTGCTAGCTATCGCACATCTAAAAGAAGCATATGAGTTGTCTGGTGTTATAACGTTACAAATTTTGTATATGACCAAGTTAGACGGATGCTCACAAGACGTAGATATGAACAAAGTGGAACGAATTATAAATGATTTGAGGGAATACAATATATTCTTGTATATTATAGGACCTGATGTGAAACTTCCATTTACTATTACAAGAGACTCGGATGTTTCAGATGCCATGAAAGACATATCTGTGGTAAATTTAGTGTTTTTTAATATTTATCTTGGTATAGAATTAAACATTTTTAGGATGAAAGTAATCCATCGTTGTCGATGGCGAAAAGAATTGTTGATGCCACAACAAACACCGTCTTATGTGACTTAAAAGTGGGTATCAACTTATTTTTTTCATTCAGAAATCCACGTGGGACACAACCTTGGAAAGTACCTCTTAGTTTCGGCAGTCGATTTGAAATTCCGGCTTGTACTGTCAAAATTTATAAAAGGGATGCACCATTTAAACTAACTACAAATAGTCGCAATTCAAAATTTGTTCTCCTCGAGGACGAATCGGTTTCAGTGGACATATCAGATTTGACTTCAGGGATTGAAAGACATGGAAAATTTGTCAAAGTAAACGAGAGGGAGATGTTCAAAGTAGAAGGTCCTAGAAGCTTTGCCGTTACAGGGTTTACACATAAGAAATATATTCCCGAGTATTACATAAGGGGTGAGTTCGTGAAACAGTTAGAGATAATTTGTTTAACTTTCTGAAAGAGTATGTACATTGAACATTTATCATTGCAGAAGGTGCATTTTATGTCTTGCCAGATGCCGACAAACTGGATGATTGTTCCCAGATACTCTACGATTTAATCGATGAGTTAGCCGAACAAGAAAAATATGTCGTCATGAGGAGAGTGTACAACGCTAATAACAAACCTAAATTTTTTGTCCTCGTTCCGCAGCCAGATTTGCAACCAAAATGTTTCGTAATGTCGGAACTGCCATATGCGGATGACTTGAAACAGAATTTTAAATGTACCGAACCAGTATTAACTGAAAAAGTTGAAGATGATACTTTTGAACAGTTTTTCAACAGTATTGATATTTGGAACGATAATTGCAAACTGAGCATCCCTTTAGGTCCTAAAATGATGCTCGAAATTTACTCGAGTAAACTAGCGAATGCAGTGGCCAAACAATATTTGGAACAGGATTTTTCTTTTGAAGAGCTTGATGTAGATGATTTAGAGAACGAAACAAATGACTCCTTAGAAGCTTTGAAAGCTTCTTGGCCTGAGAATGATAAACCAAATGAAGATGAGGAAGAGTGTACTTAGTCTGTTAGAAATATTTTGCATGTTTTCTTTTACAAAATACAAATAAAATTTCTGTTTTTGATTTATTATCACATTAAATTAAATCTAAACAATTTAGATAACTACAGTCAGTACAAACACATCCACTTTCATAATTCAACAACGGTTTTGTTATGACGTTTCTTTCTACGTCTGAGGGGGAGGTTTCTCATTTAGTTTAAAATCGAGCGGTTTGTCAAAGCCCATAATTTTAGCATAGTGTTCAGGTTGGTCAAATAGTCTAGGATCCAAAAATAAAGCTTTCCCCTTTGCAAAAAATGTCGTAAACAAACCAGGGACATCTGGAACTTTTACTTCTTCCGGTTTAAATTCAGTCTGTAATACAAATGTTTTTGTTTACCTACAATTTTACACGTTAAATATAATTTTTTAAATTACCTCTTTAGTCATACATAAAAAGTTCACTGTTTTTGCGATATAGCTGTTACTTTCTGCATTATATTCCAAGTGCGTGATATACTTTTTTGTTACTAAATGCAGTAATATAGGAGTAACAACAGTAAAGAATCCAATGAAAGAGTAGGCAGCTATAATTACAGGTACATTTCCTGATGCAGCTATTTCCTTGTATAGAAATGGTTGCGCTACAATACCAACTATGCTCGATGATAATGAGAATATCTGCAAATTTTAATATTGTTGATTGCTAGCGTCATTAGTAGCAAACTTATGCTTACCTTAACTGCACGTATCTGAGGAGTCAAAACTCCATAATATATTTGCTTCAAATTCAAATTCTTCTCGAACCTTTTTGGACTAGTACTGGTTGATGAAAATCGTACATCTACTTTATTATGCGAATTGCATGAAGCTACGTAATTTTGATTTAAGTGAAATAGTACCGGCCGACACCATAACGTATTGTTGTTTTTTATGTAATTTATAATTTGAGGGAAAACTTTACAATACTTTCTTAAAGACATTTTCAAGTATAACCTAAAAAATATTCATAATTCATATTGAAATAAAAAATAACTTCGGGTTTTAAAGAACTCTTCTTCTTCTTCCTCTTCTAACAGATCTAACCATAGAAAATATACGTTAATACTATATTTTCTATGGTTCTAACTTTGGCTGCATTTTGTAATGAATCAAGGATTTCTTGTATAAAATCCACATACTTCTATCCTATACTGATCATTACCTATAGTTTCAATGGATGACCTTGTTTCCAAAAAGTGGGGGCGAGACGTACTCTGTGTGTTTTGCGCATGTTCCATAATTAGGCGCGGTTGCATTTAAATTTAAAAGACAGTCACGGCATGCTCTGTACTATAGCCGCTTTATTGTATACATATGAGATATTAAATCTATTTTCACTGAGTTCACTTCAATTTCTAAATGTTTACTTTTCTACCATTTTCTTATATGAGTCCTCTATCGATAGGCTCCTTATCTAACACATTATTTTACTATTTATTTTTTACTATTTATTAATTTCAATAAATAACGTAAGTATCTGCATAACCTATTTAATATTTTGCAGGCTCAAATAAAATAAAACAATACAAATTTATATGCTTTTAAAACTATGTACATAGGCATGTTCGTAATTTTGGACATTTTTTTAAATGACATTGGTGTATTTATTAAACAAGACTAGTATTTCAAAAAATCGTCACTATTCACGATAGCCGGGTACAACTGACAATTTTTTTTTTTAATAAAAAAATGTTTATTATATAATTATTTATTAGTGGTTTCTGCAGTTTATTTGATAATATAAAAAAACATGCTATAAAATATCTGTAAAAGACCAATCCGATAATAATGTCCATCACGATTAAGGCTCTTATCGAGTATAATTTTGAAACATTTTTACTAAATATCAACACAAGATAAATTAATAGAAGCATTAGTGCAGGTTTAAACAGATTATGAAATAAAACTGAAAAGATACATTTATTTATTTATTTATTAAAATATACACTATACCCAAACATTTTCAACACAAAACAAAACTTTTTAGGTTAGCTTGGTTTGACGTTTGACTTTTTTACCGCTCGGCGCTCACCGTTCTCGGTTCCTTTCAACCAATCAAAACCCGTAAAGTAAACGCATGCGTATGAATACGCCGGTACGTCGCCCCACTTTTCGGCTTCAAGTCAATTGCAAAATGATCAGTATAGGATAGAAGTATGTGATAAAATCCTTGGTAGTGAATAATAATAATTGTGATTGGTTAATCAACTAAAGTTCCACTTCACTGAACGAAAAATTGATATATAAATAAAGGAAGATTGTAGATAAACTGTGTTGCTTATTTTTAATGAATTTACTGAAAATCTACAATATATAAAATTTCAAGAATTCTTATGCAGCCAAGTATACACATGTATTGTATTGTGTGTTGCTTACCAAACAAAAAATTTAAATGAAATCGGATTGAAAGAAATCATAAAGTCTCGCAAACTTGTGTAGCTAGAGAGGAACTGAATACATTTTTGGATTATAGTTATATAGTTCTCCGGAATTGTTTCAGATTTTTCTGAGTTCTCAAAATTTTTGAGAAAATCGATGGTCCATGAAAATTGTCAAAATGATAAAGTGCTTTTCTAAAAGCGGTTCCGTATCAACAAATTAAAGTGCCTCTTTGAAGGCGGTACCGTACGCAACTAAGGCCGTTGAACACGCTGGGATAGTCGGTTTTTGTGCAAATGCCCCCGTTAAGGAAAAAATCTATAATCTCGAAAACGGAAGGAGCTAGATAGGAACTGACAGCAGTTTTCGATTAGTCAGCACCGTTATTGTCTACCTGATTTTTTTCAGAATTTTCAGACTCCTAAAAATTTTTGAGAAAATCGATTTTTCGGTGAAAAAATTTTAGGGGTTCGGAAAAATCTAAAAAAATTCCTCCAGGCTATAACGGTACTGGAAAATCCCAAACTAAAACGAATTTCTCTCTAGCTCGCGTAATTTTCGAGATATTCAATTTTCTTTCTTCAGGAAAGCAATTTACAAAAAAACGGTCTACATCGGCGTATTCTGCGGCCTAATTTAGATACGGGATGCCGTATTTAGACGGCATTCTAATTTTTTGAGAGTTTTGATGAAAATTATCGTCAAAAAATTAAAGTGCCTCTCTAAAGGCGATTTTAGGAATTATTATGCAGCCAAGTATACAAACAAATGTATTGTATGTTGCCTACATAACCAAAACTTTGGAACTGGAAAGAAAATGTAAAAAATCTCGAAAATTGACAGAGCTAGAGAGGAACTGACAGCAGTTTTCGATTAGTCAGAGCCGTTATTGTCTAGGTAGACAAATCAGGTGATTTTTTTCAGAATTTTCAGACTCCTAAAAATTTTTGAGAAAATCGATGGTCATCGATTTTTCGGTGAAAAAATTTTAGAGTCACGGAAAAATCTGAAAAAATTCTTCCAGACTATAACGATACTGACAAATCCAAAACTAAAACGAATTTTTCTCTAGCTCGCGTAATAAATTAGATATGGGGTACCGTCTATAGACGGTACTCTAATTTTTTGAGAATTTTCATGAACATTGTCAAAAAATTAAAGTTCTTTTCTAAATTCGGTTCTTTGAGAATATATTGTTGTACGGTGGAGAATGAAAAGTTGGTTTAACGTGATTGCACTGGCTGTATCGAGGATGAACCGACTTGTCTGCGTAGGTGAGAAGTTTTGTTCCCATGTCTTTTTATTGTGAATTGTTAAGCTACTTTAGAAAATACAGAAATTATATTACTGTTCTATAAATAAAGGAAAATTTATTTACAATTGTGTTGTTTATTTTTAATGCATTTAACCAAAATTTAGAATAGATAAAATTTTAAGAATTCTTATGCAGCCAAGTATACACATGTATGTATTGTGAGTCGCCTACCAAACAAAAGCTTGAAAGAAATCAAAAAATCATGCAAACTGGTGTAGCTAAAGAGGAACTGAATACAATTTTGGATTTATCAGGGCCGTTATAGTTCACCGGAATATTTTTATATTTTCCTAAAAATTTTTGAGTCCATGAAAATTATCAAAAAATTAAAGTGCTTTTCTAAAGGCGGTTCCGTACACAATTGAGTTCGCCAAACACATTATGATGGTCGGTTTTTCTGCAAAAGCTTGCGCCAAGAAAAAAATAGAAAATCTCAAAAACTTGTAGAGTTAAAAATGAATTGAATGCAGTTTTGGATTGATCAGGGCCGTAATAGTTCACCGCAATTTTTTAGATTTTGCTGATTTATTTACAATTGTGTTGCTAATTTTTAACCCATTTACCCAAAATGTAGAAAATATAAAATTTTAAGAATTCCTAGAGAATTTTAAGAATTCTTATGCAGTCAATGATGTCTTTTTTATGTGAACTGTTAGGCTACATTAGAAAAGACAGAAATTGATGATGATTTACAATATAATTTTAAAACTTTTATGCAACCAAGTATACAAATATATTGTATTTTATGTTGCCTATAAAATAGGAACTTTGGAAGGAATAAATCGAAAATTTCGAAAACTTATATAGTTGTTTAGCGCCGTTATAATTTAACGGAATTCTTTCAAGAATTTTCTGAGTCTTTTTTTGGGAAAATCGTTGAAAATTGTCAAAAAATTAAAGTGCTTTTTTAAAGGTGCTTACATATGCAACTGGAGTCGCCTTACACGCTGTCAAGATCGTTTTTTTTGCAGATGCTTTGGCCACAGCTTAATATGAACTGTGCTTTGGCTGTATCGAGAGATGTTTTTCTGTGTAGGTGAGATGTATTGTCCTCATGTCTTTTTGTGTGAACTGTTAGGTTACATTAGAAAACACAGAAATTATATTACTGTTTTATATATAAAAGAGAATTTGTTTATAATTGTGTTATGCATTTTTAATATACTTATCCATAATCTGTAATATATAAAACTTTTGCAATTCTTATGCAGACAAGTATACACATATTTTGTTTTGTTTGTTGCATACCAAACAAAAACTAAACGCGAATGAAAAAATTAAAAATTTTGAAAACTCTAGAAATTAAAGAACTGAATGTAGTTTCGAATTGACAATCACCAAAATCTAGTAACTTATATGTACTATTCTCAACAGTGTACGTTGTAACATTTGCACTCAGTAAAGTTGGGTATCATTGACGTTTATTGTAAAGGGTGTTGCTTCAATAATGCAGTGTAGAACTTGACAATTTAAGCACTTTTGTGTGTTACACAACTTGACTGAATATTTTAACTTTTACCGCCCTGGAGAAATAAACATTAAGTGATTATACAGCTTTTTATTCAACTATTAAGCACATAAACAAGTTTCAACCGAGAATAAGTGATTTATATCAATTTTTATACACCTATCGCTATTTCAAAAAGTCTATAAAATGTAAATACTTTGCCCTTGAATCGTACACTTCTATTTGAAAACCTATAAGTTTATTTGTATTTACAACTGTATTTTTTCCATTTATTTGTATTGAAATGCATTTTGCGAACAAAAAATAATAAAATAACGATCGCCATATTTCACTCACTCCTTTAATGACATCGATGCGTGCTTCATTCTTTTACTTAGCCCCAAACGTCTCCGTATTTAGTTTTAGCCGCTGAAGGATCTTCTGTCTCGGATGAGGATTTCGATGGAGGTGGCAATGGCTTTGCAGGTTCCCTAACAAAAATCGTTTGTTAAGTAGACATTTTTTTTGCTATTTTATGTAACAGTCTCGGATCTTTACCTATAGTTTCCGATTCTTTTTTGTTGATATTCTTCCCGATTCTTCTTCCTCAATTCCTCGTAAGTGGTGGTGTGTTTTTGGATAGGAGGCATTTCTTCCTCATAAATCGGATCTGGAAAAAATACGGTTAATTAAATGCACATCCGCAGCTGACTTACGGGTTTAGCTGAAGAGGCGAAACAGTGAACGTGAGATTTCAGGGATGTTGTTAAAACATAATCGGGATAGCACAACTACTACAACAGGGCACGCAACGTGACAAATTAAATGATGAAATGACAAGTCGCTGAATACAAATCATCAAAGTAGTTCATGAGTGTGTTATATTATCCAAAGTATGGTCAAGAAACTCTCAATATAATAAATGTGAAAACAAACTTTTATCAGAACTAGCGTCATATTTTTTAAAAAGATTAATAAAAAGGTACTTACTATCTACAGACGGTCTTTGATAATCATCTAATCCGGGTGCATCTGGCCTGGCGGTGTCCATATTTAAACTGCTATTCGGATTAAGATCGCTATACGTATCATACGAACTCATTCCGCTGAATGGAGCAAGGGACATACCAGGCCCAAAACTGGTGTCTAAACTAAAAAATAAATAAAAATTACTGACAAATATATCAATGTAAGTATATAAAATTTATTTTTACCTTTCCTGAAGATTGCCCCTGCGTTTCTGCCTCAACATTTCCCCAAGTTGACTGTTGGGTAGCTGCATTAATTTCTCAGCACATTTTGCTTGGTACGAGAATTTACCTATGAAATATCCTACTACGACAGCTGTTAAAACTTTTGGCGTAGCTCCAAATCTGGTGTTCGGTTTGAGGGAACCTAAGAAAATTATCCTGTGTGTGAGCGGCTTTCGTTTTTATCGAACTCACCTGTTTTAACCCCGTAGTAAACTCCTCCTCCCAAAAGAGCTCCTAGGGGTAAACATCTTTGGTAGAAACTTTCTTTATTGCATTCTCGTATCACCCTCAGTTCGTCTGGAGTAAATTTGTACTAGAAAATTAAGCTTTATTGATACATTCATTTTTATCGGATTACAAATTACTTGCTGATTATTTCTTGCATGGGGGCCTGGAAATTGTCTTCTAGGTTCCTTTTCAGCTTCATCGTTATTAGGATTATTCATTTTTATTCATAACATCATAACTTAAATTTGAGGTTAGTTTTAAGTTATGGTTCTCGATTTCTCGCCAATGAGTTGCATAGTGCGTTCCATAGATCTAATAGTACATATATATTAGATCTATAGTGCGTTCGGTATTTACTACGTTATTTTTACTCTGTAGACTACAAACTGTAACTAAATATTGTTCCAGTATCGAAATTAAAACCTGGATGTGCTCCCTCAAATTTTAATAATTCTGTGCCAAGAACTAACGAAAAAAAAAAAATTAAAAATGTGTAACCGCAAATTTCTCATTTCCACATTTAGTTATTTCAACTTGGAGTGACGTCTATAATGGTTGGTTTATAAAAAAGTATTAGTCCTAACTTAGTCTTAGTCTTAGTATTAAATTAGTCCTAAGAATAGGTACACGTTTATAAAAACAATGTGTGGTCCTAATTTTATTAAGATTAACCAATGAGCGATTCGACTACGCGCATGGCTAGTAATATCACAGCATTATACTTGTTTATTATTCTGTGGTAATGTTATTTTATTTGTTTTGTTGGTGAGTGAAAAGAAAAATATAACCTATTACTATGGCAATGGCGTATTGGCGACCACCATAGACAAAGACAGGAGGCCACTATGCTACGAAATGCAATACTTGTGCATGCGCACTTCTCAGATCTTAGTCTTAATCCTAGAAAAATTAAAAGATGCGAACTTTCAAGGTCATGTCTTAAGACCTCCTTACGACTAGGGATTTTTATAAACCGATACATTACATTCTGTACATTTAACTTATTAGGACTAAGATTAAGGTTAATACTAAGACTAAGTTAGGACTAATACTTTTTTATAAACCAACCATAAACTATGATTGCTAGATTTTCATCACCTTTCCTCAATTACATTTTTTTTATTAAGTACCTACCTATTTCAATAAAGGATGCCAATCCTGAAGTCTGAATCCGACATACAGTCGTAAGACAGCAGTGCATGAAAACAAAAACTTTTGGAATTTTAATTAATATTGGGAATTGGGAAAGCACAAACCGGTGGGCCTTGGTCAGGTGAACGGTTTTGCAATCAGCGACGTCGAAGAGGTGGCCCCGGCGTTCCCCATTTCGCAGGATGCAGGGCCGGCCTGAGGGGCATATGAAATGTTCTGGCAAACTTGCAGTGACCTTACACAGTAAAATTACGTCATTAAAATGAATGTAATGTGCTATAAAGTTTCTTGTTTAGTGGGTTACTTCAATGGCATATGTAGTGTGACCGTAGTAACATTTCTACTAAAATTAAAGGAAACGCATTCATATCTATAGAAACAAAAATAACTTGAATCATTAACAATGATTTTTATAAATAGCACACACTTGATACTAAAGTAAACAACGACTGATACTAATTTCTATCTCTAGTTAAGAGATGTGTCTATCTGTAAATGGGCTAAGCCTGACCTGGCCATTTGTGCCATTAAGTGTGCCATAATCGCATAATATATACGTTCTCCGATGTGCATTTATGTGGGAAAATGTTACGTCACTAAAACTAGTAGACTTAATTAAATGCCATTGACGTCTTTTTGTTGTACACAAGCAGAATAATTATTGTTATAAATAATAACTCATTCAAGATCACTTTGAACCAAAATCTATATCACTGTAATCCTGAGGTAGTGTTCTAGCAAAAATGAAAACACCGTCATTCATGTTTTCATCAAAATAAAGTTTTGTTATAAAAATGAGGTACTGCGAAAATATAATTCTCTTGAAAATAAATTCATTTTTTATTTAGCACTAAGTGTCAAACGAATAAACAAAATGACAAAAAATATTTATTGTTACAGGAACCATAATTTTTATTTATCAGGCTAAATTTGATTGAAATATGGAATTACATTTTTTAAATTGCTCGTAACTTCTAAACCAAAACAAAACGGACATCATATAAGAAAGAATGTTTGAAATTAACCCAGCTAGAATCTGTCAAAGTTTGTCATAGATAGAGTTTGTATAACACCCTGTATTACAATATAAAAAAAAAATATAATTGTTCGTTTTTAAGCTTGTAACTTATGCTGAACCGTTAATAAGAATTAATTGGACGGGATTTATAATTTTAACTTTTGATGTTTTACCTTCTGATGTTACGTTTGCTGTGAATAGACCTTTTTAGTAGTGACGTCACATACGCCAAATAATCGGCAAACCCATAGTACACATTGTCATGAAGAATTTCCCAATATTTTTATTAGATCGATTTTCGATCTTATGTACCTAGTTTGGGCATAAGTGCCAAAAAAATGTTTGGCATGGCCTTAAATATCGCGATATTCTGGCAATATTAGAAATATTTAAGAAGCTTCAAAGGTCAAGTTAATTAATAAATTAAAATTTATCAATGTTACTGAGCATGCGCATTAAAGATGTAAGCGAAAATTTACTTTACAGAGAAACAAACATATTTTTGTCTGTCACTATACTGGAGAAACTACGCCTATGATTATATTCTATAGCATATGTAAAAAAATCAATGTTCTCGACACTAATTTGCATAACATAATCATATACAATATAGATTACTGCATTTCTTTAAATATTCATACGCATATGTTCCCATACAGTTACATGTACAGTATAATAAAATTGAGATATCTACGTCATTCTATTCCTGAGTAATACTAATGATTCATGTTTTGCTATACATAAAACTGGTTCTGTGTTTCCTCTTCATCAAAAAATTCTTGCAGAATGACGTCAGTGTCAGGTAGGCGAACCAAGAGTTCGTTATGCTGATTTTTTTTTTCGAAAGCTGTGCTGCGCTCTTTAATCCATACATTTTTCAGCTCTTCTTTCAACAAATTTATTCGACTCTATGCAGAAATTCACAAATAGCTGTTTATTTTGTCTATTTAATGGTATATTTGGACAAGGTTGTCATAATAGACGTTAGTGGAAGCGTCCTTATGGAATTTAAACTAATATGCAGGTATTGGCATCTATCACATCAAAAAGGAAGTTACTGATTACCAGTTTCACAAAAATCAACAAAGAATACATCCGTACTTAAGAAAATAATAAGCAGTTTTGCTTTAACGACTGTATTGCAAATAATTATAAGTTCAAGTATGTCGACAAAGATATGTTTAAAGAATTACTGTTTTTTTACGATGACTTCACTAAGGACAAAATTAGACATTCACAACTTTTGGTAACAATATTAATTTTACGTTAAGTAATATTCAACAATATTTGTGTTAAAACTACACTTTTTATCTTTGTTTCTGGTCTAGTAGATATATTTCTGTTGTATGGGCTTTGTACATAGATAGACTGATTATATTTATTATTCGCCTATACTTTACATGGATTTTCTTTTTTTCCAAAATATAGATATAGATGGTGCTTTATGTTTGACATGGCAACCAATAGATGGTACTTTACTGTTCAGGTTATAAACAATCGATGGTGCTATATTCAAGACAGGCACAATTGATAGCCCTGTATATTTTGTATTTACGAACAAATAATGAGGTAGTCACCTTAAAATATTTACAGTATGTACTGATATATACAATCTCTACAGATTACCTACATCAGATAATAATGAAAATCCTCATTTTGATTATGCAAATCGTGACGATTATAAAACTCGTAATGACTGATACTACACGAATTAATCGATAATACCGATAACAACAAAATCACATACGGTATGATTGCTTTTATAACTAAGATGAATTTCTACATGTGCATACTTTTATTTGACTTTCAGTCAGAAGAGGGTAATTTCTAATGAATTAGTTCAGTCGATAACACGATCTTAGAGAATTAAATTCCTGATAAGACGATTTAGATAAAATTATATACATATAACTAAATACTGATTTTTACGTAATAGGATTTGAGACTTTTATTTGATGTGTGCTACTGGGAAATTAACAGAATGAACATGTTTTTTTTTTCAATTTCCTGTTAGTGTTCACGCAAAGAATTTGATATACTTAGTTTTATCACTACCACTACTTGGTTTTGGTGGCTCTTGGGTTTAAGTACTTTAACAGTACGATAGGGACAGTTCTTCTGCTTCATTTTAAACTTTGGACTCATCCTAATACCCTGATGGAGTGCATACCATATTTGTAACACAATTTTTGTAAATTTTCATTTGCTATTAACCCTTAAATGATATTTGTGTAACAGTTAATTTTATTTAAACATTCAATATTTGCTAGGCAGCAAAAAATTTTTCATAGTCATTATTATTTATTAAAAAAATTATATGGAATATTATTTCTTATCTATAAGTGTGTGAGCATAACTTTGCATTATCTTCAGAGATCTTCGACAAGTAGAATACAATTCTGAGTACAGTCGGAGATAAAAGTTGATGCTGGATTACATAAAAATCTAGTTCAAATAGCTTCATGTTTGTCTGTATCAAATGAAGAATCATAAAGTCAGAGGCGTAACGTTGAATATTCATATATGAATCAGTCCTAAGAACACCGAAATTTGGTGCATAGACCACAGACTAGTGGGATCGAAGTAAGGCGATTTAGATCAACTTGGCTTCATAGCTTTATATAAAAGTCAACGACTCCTGAGATATAGCCCCAAAAATGTTGTTTTAGTGCACGTCTTTGTTTAGACAGGGTGTGCTAAAAGCACCTCCCTATGCCATTTTAGGATTAATTGTAAGATCTATCAAAAAATGTTTGTAGGTTAGTAAGAAGCCATTATTCTGATCGATTCAACCTTGATCTTAAGTTTAAAGGCAAACCAAGATGTGCCCTTAAAGGTCGTTTGAAGGTCAAATTCTTTCTTCGCTGAATAACTCGACAAAAATATTTAAAGTAAAATTTGTAGGATTTTGAATGACAAAATTGATGAACTTAGATTTGACCTTCACTGCAAGTGGCAAGGTCAAACTAAGGACAACTTAATATTTAGTTAAAATCTTGTGTCAGTTAATACGGTCTTTCTTGAAAACCATAGTTTTTTAAAATTTAACAAGAGTAAAAAAAATTAAAATTAAATTCTGCTGTGAATTAATATTACTATTTTTCAATTCGGTCAATGAAAAAAAGTTCGGTACAATTTTAAGGGTGAGTGATCCCCAATGAACATCTTGTAGTGCTTCAATTAACTTTAAATCATAGTCAAGGAAGACCAGTAATAAACCTAAATCATGTACCAAATTTGGTCCTTCTACGGAAAAGTGTTGCAGAGATATTATTTTTTTTTCGAAATTTAGGGCTAAGCCTAAATCATGTACCAAATTTGGTCCTTCTACGGTAAAGTGTTGCAGAGATATTAATTTATTTTTCGAAATTTAGGGCCCCTTTTTGGGGGCTAACAACTCCTCAAGGGTGCAACTTTGTATTTAGGTAAGTTTAGTTAAATTACAATATTTTGGACACCTCTACATGCACCTGCGCTGTGTCGGTTCTTATGCGGGACACCCTGTATAGATACATAAATTGGTTTATGTATGGGTGAGATATAACCCTACATCCCACAATATCTTTAGTTAAAAACTTGATCTAAATTGACGATTGATTTATTTTAACATTATCTAAGATTACGATTGGTTCTTCCTAGTCTTACAATTGTACATATTTCCTTTTCTCCTCATTCGACATTATTTCAACAGTATGATACGAAGCGAGGATATTCCTTGTACTTCTACGCTGAGTTTTGTCTAGGTTTATTAACAATAAATACCTGTTGTACACCTATAAATCCCGAAGACTGCCGTCCTTTAATGTCTTTCTCCTCTTGCAAACAGTGATTAGCGAGAGTAGGGAGTCGGAATTCGCGACAGAGTTTCAGTAACACCGTAAAGTAGTCAACTGAAGGTTGGTTTGGCATCAGTGGTGCGCCTAGTACCAGCAGGACCACTACAGGACTGTTCTACTCGCCCGCTGCTCAGATTCAGACAGGTATGTTTGTAAATAGTGACATGTGCTTGGTCCTTTGCGGGATTGTGCTTCATTTCGCCGATACGCTTTTTTAAATTTTCCGAATGGACAAAGATTTGTTAATGATTTTGGGCCTTTTTTGTTTGAATGCCAAGAAATATTAAGAAAGGGTGGTAGACGATATGAATGAAAAAAAATCAAACAATCGATAAATCAACAAAAATGTGAGAAATATAAAATACATAAAAAAGATTTTTAATAAGTATTATTCCAATAAAAATGTGACTTAATAATTCTACGAACATAACTATACTTTTTTAATTATTTCTTATCTATTTTTTTTCTTCAGACAAATATCAATAAATTAGTGTTTTTTCAAATTATTTGGCAAAATAAAGTCCAAAATAGGAAATAATTAAGAAATGTCATTCATCACTTTCAAAATGAAGTTACATCATGTACAGAGTGTCAAAAAAATAGTGTAACAAAGAAGGTACTAGTCAAAACTAGCAAAAAAATACGTTGTGTTAATTATTCCTTAAGAATTTCTTGCCAAGATGAATATTTATAACCTTAAAAATGCCGCAGTTTCTGATATATTTTCATCTATTTTAATTATAAAAAAATAGTAATTTTATATTTTTGCATGAATAATGTACACTGTTTGTTACAAAATTAATTATTAATAATAAATAAATTGCGGTAGGCCCTTTGCTGTAAAATAACACCAGGTTATTACATTTCAAATAAAAAATTGCTATTAAAATTTTTCAAAATTGACACCCACAAAACTGTCAGGTTTAAAATTTGTAATTTCGACGAGGTTATAATTTCCAAGTATGCCAGGTCCTAGAGTCTATTTACAAAAAAAATATTAGTAATTTGTTTGTTTCTTATTTGTTACGATAATGATTTGTATTTTTTTTAATTATCCTCGTGTATAATTGCAAGCCCCTCATTAAGATCTCTTATAAGCGGCGCTCATTATTATGTGGATAAAAAAGGTTTTGTGTTGATAAATATTAGAGGTAGGTACTTAAATGTGGACCTACTGTTAAGTGTAGAGTCCGATTTTTATCAAAACGTTTCAACTATTTGTTTTTGCCAAAAGCAAGTTTCAGAGTGTTTGGTTTTAAACAAACTTGAATTTTAAAGAATTATTTGTAAATTGCTGAAACTTTTTGGCTAACCACTGTATTCTTTAAGAGGATCTTCTGTCCAACTAGGTACATAAAAATGTAGTACAAAATAACATTTCACATTTCACGTCTTTTAGACAAAATAATATTTGTTCACATTAAAGAAAACTTCCAATTAAATTGTACTGATTTTGGGACACCGTGTACCTAGCGAGACAAAACCAGAAATGCTACTAAGCTACCAAAAAAACGCGCTTTCTTTCCCTCCCATATAGAGCATAGTTGTTTGAATCATTGGATAATGCAGCGACATATTTTTCTTATTTTCAACTATCTCCTAGTAAAACGTGTACTTAAAAAATGTGGACTATGTAAATATCAACAGTTCATTGTTATCAGACAATAACAGGAGTGTTTTCCATTTGGCGACCTATCAACGCTGATAGAAATTAGAAACAGGTTATTGTGCAATACTCTTTTCTCAAAACGGAACAGATTTTATTTTTAATTTCTATCTAGTCTAGGATAATAATAGATGAAAGGATTAGAACCAATTTAAAAATAACGCAGAGGTTTAATAAATTTTTAAATAGAGAACGAAGACTCAACTTTATTTACGTGTTGTTGGAAACAAGGCATAAAATAATATAACCCTTTTTAGTAAATTTATAGAAAAATGCAGTGATTATACTTGTAGTTCTAGGTCAATTTTAAATCGTTTGAAAATACAGGGTGATTCACAAATGGTGACCAAAAATGAAACCTCGTATTCTTTGGTGAATTTTAAGGGGACTCTTTCCTATAAAGTTTTTATCTTTCATTTTTGGTCACCATTTGTGAATCACCCTGTATATTGAATCCTGGTATGCATCAGTTAAAGAAGGGATTTTTAGATATGCCTTTCTTATATTGTTTTGCGGATTAACTTCTCTGTTTTCTTCACACCTATTTGTGAAATATTGACTAAAGAAGTTGATGTTGCGATTACATACAAATTGTTTTATTGCACTATTACCACGACGAAACTTTTCCTTAATTTTTAAACTCGTGAAACTTTTCCTTGTTTTTATTCAGCTGGGCGGTACACATGCGTTTAAAAAGTTCCTCAAGGTCTTCCGACAATTCTTGTTTGTCTCCGAAAGAGTTAATTTCACTATTCTACCTTTACACCGATGCGAAAACTATTTACATTGTAACAATAACGACTTTTAACATCCGCAAGCCTCGAACAATCAATTACATTTATCATTTATGCCCCCCATACCAATGGAAATAAAACTGGACTTAGATCTTTCGTTAGGTTTTATTTGTGTAATTTAATGCCACAAGAAAATTAATTATTCAGTTTCAAGGCGAATAAGTCTATATAATTAAACACACTTTTGCTTAATGTAATGTTAATGTTAATTAATTTAATTAACATTAATGTTAATTAATGTTTTGCTTAATTTCGTTTGGTTTCTGTTATCTTAAAACAGATCGAAAAAGAATAGTAAATGATAGATCGTCGTAAAAAAAATATGGTATTATTCTGTTCAACATTATGACAACACTTAAGCGATGTTTTTCTTATTGTTCTGTTGTAAAAGTTTTATTTTCATAATCAAGCAAGATAAGGTTTCAAAAGTCACTTGGATAAAGAGATGGTGTATTGTAAAGGTATCGGACGTCGTTGTAGATTCTTCTGAGAGGAATTTTATCTAAAACATACTTTAACGAGATCGATTATACTCAAAGATTTCATTACGCCTACAAATGTAATTAATTGTTACTCCTTCGCACCAGATAAGATGTAGTTCGTCATTCACACAAAAAGACATATTTTGCGGTACGAAGCGAATCCTTATCGCGCCCGATCGTCAATTGTTTTGTAGCGGAATTTTACTGTTAAACACGTAGATGGGCAAAGTTAAAAGTCAATAGGCAGTCACTTGAACGTGAGATTTTCGTATAAATAAGGACAGACTGAGGGTTTTGACTTCTTTATTTTAGAAAGTTAGATGAAATAAGATTGTGTGTCATAATGAGGTCCTGAAATAAGCTGTGATATGTGTAAGTTTTATATTAGGAATTTATGTTTAAAATCTCATTTTTTAGAATTAACATATTTTTAATTTTTTTAAATTCTTGTGATTCTGGTAAAAGCTGGTTCAAAAAAACGTAGTATTAATGAATTTAGATGGAAATAGGTCTAATTAAATTTTTCATTAGACCGGGAAGAATGTTTATAATAAAATACTATTGTTTTCAGTTTTAGTGTAAGTAATATAATTTTAATATTCCTTTTGAATTTTTGTAGAAAAATAGTTTTATTTTGCGACGTGATTATAAGTATTAATAAAATTGATTGTGAAATATTATATCGCAATTATCTATAGTACATCGAAGGTTAATATCTACATATACTTAGTATCTTAAAAAAAGTTATAAGTGCTACCTTAGAGACCTATGAATTAGTTTATGCGTTATCAAATATTTATAACTAAAAGGATTTACAATCTGACATATTCATCACATCAATTTATTGATGGTAATTTTGCGATAAGTTTTCTTATTAATATTAATTTGTCTGATTTTAAAATTTGTCTTAATTACGTTTAGAAAATCCAAGAAAGTTAGAAACAATATGTTTTCACTGTACCAGTGATATAATTTTTCTTCAGAGTATAAGACAACTGACACATTGAAAATAAGGGAAAGAATAATATTTTTACCTGGTTTCCTGAATTACCTGCCGAACATACATCACACCTAGCAGAATGGTTTTAGGAAACTATTAACACATGCATTAATCACAATTATTGGGTATCTTTACAAATTTGCTGGACAAAATATGAAGGGTACATTTCCTGATATTTACATATTCTCCGTGATCGATTAAAGGAAGTTGCTCTAATAGTTTAGCGTTATGCTTCGTCACTTCCTTGATGGATCTACTTGTTCTATAATTGTCTTTCTAAAAGTGCGATTTCTTGTTTATAAAAACTAGCCTTAAGATATATACCGTAAGTAGTTACTTTTCATAATCTGTTTCAATGAAAAAAAGGTAAAATCCTAACACTAATCTTCAATCCTGGCGCATGCACCAAAATTTAGAAAGGCCAGTTCTTATCTGGGCTATGTAAGGATATGTTAATAAGCAGTAAAAATGTAATAATTCCTGATATATTGTTATTTATTTCAGTTCTTTTATATTGTTTTAATGTTCTCTTAATTATGGCGAAAGAAAATTTTTACCTTTTCTACAAAGGCCAAATATTCAATAGGTCAAATTGCAGATGTCAATATATGTATAATACTTTTTTATATCAGCACCTGAAAAATAGTAACAGGCAATTTTAATCTAAATAGTTTGATTTTCATTTGTTCACTATAAACCTATAAATTTGAACACCTTGTATATTTATTTTTGTCACTGCAATTTATGTAGAATATAGATATGCTTTATTCATTTACCTGTCAAATTATTTAAAGATCCTGATATTAATCAGCAATTTTTCTTTGAGAAGACAGGTAGATTTCGATCATAGTCATATTATCATATAATAGTTCGGCACTAAAATGAAGGTATGTAGTTTGAATTATTCATATAAGCAACACGAGCCTATTTAAATGTAAACACCTACATACATGGAAAAACACCTGTTCTATAGTAAATATATTCATTTTATGTTGTTTTCTTTTTATGTAATTTGTAATAACCAATTATCTTGCGAGTTATTTTGCATACGCTCTATCCTGTTATATTATTAACAATTTAATCATATTTCAGTTTATTGATACTCGTTTAATAAAAAAATCCATTAAACAACGATTTAGTACGACTTAAGATTCAGTAAAAAAATTGTAGGTATAAAATTTATAAGTCCCAAGGTAAACAAA